GGCTTTTGGAAAGGGCTTCCCTTGCCCCTCTAGAATCATATTGTCTGATGAATTTTGGAGGAGACCAAAAAGAGGAAGTGGGGAGATGATTATAGTATTATGGCTTCTCACATCTGGAGCCATGAACAGGGTTTAAATTGTGACCTACTCAGCATGGGTGGCCAGTGTCAGCTGGGATGTCCAGACACAAGGCCGCTGGCTCCACTGTGCACAGCTGGAATTCCTGACCTGTGGCTCCTGTCACCTGAGTGCCACAGGCCAGAGAACTGACCCATCTGTAGTTGAGCAAGTAGGACAGCACAGGTCCAAGTACCTGAGCCGCAGAGTGCAAGCACAGGTGGCTGCGCTTTTTGAACCTGGAAGAGTGGTTTCCTCAAGCAATCCTTACCCAGGATCGATGCAGTCCTGTATATCTGCGACCCAGGAGTGTTTCTGGAGGGAGTCAATGGTTTCCAAGATATACTCAGCACCATTTTCCACCTACATGGGAAGAAAGGGAGAAAGAGAAGTCAATTAACAACCCTGTTATGTGTCTTCACCCTTCCCTGCCTGCCTCTCTCCTTCCCCACCCCGACCCAAAAGACATTACTGCATATTCCCTACTCAACCACTGGGCAGGACAATGGAATCAAATAAACGCCTACCAAACGGTATCATGCCTGCCAATACCAATACCATGGTCATGGTCTGCAGTGCAAGCAGCAGCTGTTTGAACATTGACCAGCAGCCCAACCCCTCTCTTTAAGCTGAGAAGTATCTTCTCCAACAGAAATTACAGTGATGGAGGGAAGAGACGAGGGAATCTTCAGGTGTCCAAAGGCAACCGCAAACATAGGAATTAGGCCAGAATTCGGGGCACATGGTCTTAGATGCTCCCATGGTAACAAGTTGGGCTTTAGGCTCATCTGAAGCAGGCAACACTCATCCAATAACTTGGCACTCTGAAACATCATGCTGGGTCACTAGTGAAGCACTGGTGCAAAGAAAAAGCACTGCCTATTGATTCACCAGCTGCGCTACATGTAGTATCTCGGAGTTTTTTGAAAATCTTCCTTCCACACGCTGAACTGGCTTAACCCTGTTCAGTTTGTCAGACCAGATGTTGCAGCCTGAGACAGCATTGCCAACCAGAAGTGTCTGAAAATGAATCAAGCCCCCAGAGTGCCATGAGATAATATCATTTTAAAGACTGTCTCATTATCAGGGATCCAGGTTTTCTGTTTGCTATTGAAAATGCAGAAAAACACAGATTTTTCTCTTTTAAAGGATCAAGGATTTTCCCCTTTAAAAAGGAAAAAAATGCAGGAAATCAGTGGTTTCCCTCTGCAGGCTGGCAGAGTATCAGCCTGCAAGGGCACCACATGAATGTGTGTATGGTGATGGGGAGAGGCACAGACCATGTATTGGGAGGGGGGGACCACAGGCCACACATTGGGGGCAGTGGGGGGATATGTGCCCCCCAAGACTTCTGTGCCCACAGTGGGGCATGGGGCTGCAGCTGAGCTGAACCAGCTCTGAGCAGGAGCTGCCTCCACAGTGCAGCAGGCAGGACCCAGCATAGGAGGGAGTGCTGTACCACTGTGGCGAGGCCTGTGCCCTGCTGTAGGTGCAGAAATCTTGCGGGCACATGCTCCCCCTGCCATGTCATCGTGCCCCCCCCCCAACACACACACACACACACACACCCATTCCAACCCCCAGCCCTCAAGTGTGAGGAAGGGGGGCAGTGGGTTGGGAGTGACGGGCACCAGCAGGAACAGGGGGCTGTGGGTTGGGAGCAGAGCTGTCCCTAGGGTATGGCGAATCGGGGTGACTGCCCCAGGCCCCATGCTTTGTGGGGGCCCACAGAGCCAGGGAAGAGTGACTGCGGCCCCTCCTGTGGAGCTCATCTGGAGCTGGCAGCACAGCCCTGCACCACAGAAGAAGCACAGCCCCCCCCCCCCCCCTTTCCG